AAACAAACAAATCAAAGCAAGAGCATGAAGCTTCAGTAGGAAAACGGAAACCCTTTCAGAGTTGTCATTTCTGGTACGTTTACACTTTCCAAGTCTCTTCAGACACCATCTCTCTCTACTTTCATTTGGAGATTCGGTTTTCTTGCCTTGCCTTGGGTTGACCTTTGGACTGTTCTATGCATACACTGAACTTCCTTCCGCTTCGGGGTCTTCATATCTACTCTTCTCATATTTGTGCACCGCTCACTTCTTGCTTTAGTATTACTATTATTTGCTGGGTTTTTGTCTTGCCTTGTTTTGAGACAGGGTTTCACTATGTAGCTTTGCCTAGCCTGGAGCTTGGTGTACGGGCCAGAGTAGCCTTGAACTCCCACAGATCTGCCTCCCTACATCCACCAAGTGCCGGGAATAAAGGCACGCGCCACCATGCCCAGTTCATAGCTTACTTCTTTACATCATTCAGGTTCCTGCCCAAATACCAGCACTTCAGAGAACCTCCTGATTGTCCAGTGTAAAACTGTACCTGACTTCTCCCAACCTCATTATACGCTGTGATCTTTTGAAGAAAAATAGGAGCAGCTTAATTAAACACCCCATGTTGATCACGTGTATCAACCACTAGAATGTAAGCTCCTTAAGGGCAAGGAATTTGTCTTGTATATCAGTATATTGCCATCCAGGGCAGTGCCTGACAAATGGTGGACTCTGGGTAGATTGTTATTGGATGTAAGCTTATGTAGATGATTTAACTGAGGTTCGGGATATGTCTAGTAACTTGCCCAGGAGCAAAGAGCTACACAGAGCCAGGATTGTTAATTCCTCGTCCATTTGAAAGATTGTTTATATTCCAAAGATGTTGTGCTACTGTTTCCTAATTAAATGGAATGTAAACACACACGACAGTAAATGTCACAGCTTCGTGGCTGCTTGGATGAGATCAGTGAGATGGAGTCACTGGGAGGAGGCAGACCCTGTTCTGTGAACAAATGATATTTGGAAAGATGGGGAGGGGAGGGAGGCACACTGCCTCATCCCAGACCCTAGTAGGCTAGTGACTGCCCACTGGTTCTTAGCCTTGGCTGAAGAATCCTGTTTGAAGTTTCCCTTCCCAGGACAGCAATGAGGAGAGAATATCTTCCAAAGAGCTTTAGTGGACTGTGGTTAACTGTAGTCTTGACCACATTCTAACTAACTGGTATAGCTTTGGGCAAGTTCAAGCAAGTTCCAATGAACTTCACAATTCTCAGGCAATGCTACTTGCCTGACTGCTGAGCAAGGAGGGCCAGGCCTCAGAGAAGAATTTGCCTACAGCATCTTTCTTTCTAAAACAAAAAAGGGGGGGTAATAATGTGTTTTCATGTATATGAGTCAGGACACACGTGTCATGGTGATTGCAGAGACAGTACAACCACAGGTGCCTCACCTACCCTATTTGAGACAGGGTCTCTTGTTTATCACTTTATAGTTAGGCTAAATGGCCCATGAAAGGGTGGGGATTCTTCCACCCCCCTTCCATCTCACTGGAGGGGTGCTGGGATTACGGAGGTGTATCGTTGTATCGGGTATTACATGGGCCTCATGCTCAAGTGCTTTGCCCACTGAACCATCTCCCCAGACCCCAAGGGCATCTTTTTAAAAGAGGACCAGTGATACTGTTGAATCAGGTAGGAGATGACTTGGGAACCAGCTTTTAGGCTGCTGTAGGAGGGTGCCTAGAGTTGTTCTTTTACTTCATTATTGAAGATGTGTACCCTGCCCAGGAAGTTTCCTGGATGGTGAAGGCAGTAGCAACCAGAGGCAAGGAAGAAAAGGGGAGTTCCCAGGCAGCCTCTAGATGCAACTGGTTCGAAGTACCCGGGAAACCAAAATCAATCATTTAAAAGGAGAAGAGGTAAAGGTCGACAGGTGACAGTCAGCACTTACAAAGATAAAGGGACAGGAAAATCTCGGGGTGGTGGTGGTTGTGTCCGGGAAGCCTCAGGGACGTGAGGGTTCTGCAGGTCACCACTTTGAAGGAGACTGAGTCGTAGACCCATTCCTCATCCCTCCAAATCTTTCACGAGGAGATGAAGGCACCATCTACTCAAATGCCTGTACATCCTCCTCATCAGCACCCATCTGGTGAGCCCAACTCCCAGCTCTGAAAGTGACATTACATTATCCTGGGGCTTCTAAATACTGATTTGGATCCTATGTAAAACTGATTATTTTCCTCAAGTATCTATTCAAGAATAATGTTTGAAAAATATGAAGCAGATAGGGCTGATAACATGGTTGAGCAGATAAGAAGGTGGACTGACTGCTTTTGGAGAGGACCCAAGTGTAAACCTCAGCACCCGTGTCAGGGTTCACAACCACCTGCAACTCCAACTCCAGAGGTATTCAGTGCCATACACCCATACAGTTAATTAAAACTGAAAATGTTAAATATGAAAAGAATTTGGCATTGTTCAGTTATACTCACAAGACTGAAAGCTAAAAATGTACAAGGCAAATAATAATTAGAAGAAACTTTTATCATTCAAATGATGCCACAGTACGACTGCCAACTCTTGTTTTATTTTTTTTCCTGCTTTTGATGAACTTGTCATTTCTGGCACTCCTTTCCTGTAATATCCTGTGCTGTGCCTGTGGCATCGAGAGTTAGATGGCAAGTTCACCTGTTAGGAAACTCTTCCTCCAGCTTGCCCACACAGTCAACTGAATCAAATCCTTCCTCAAAATTCTCAAATTGTGTGTGTTTAGTTTAAAGATGCAGAAATGTTTCTTTAGACCCCTTCCAGGTTCTCTAAGATCTGGCTTCAGGCTACAGCT